ATCGTGTAATAAAAATTTATTAAAATGGAAGGGGAATGGAAATTCCATTCAATGGAGTTTTCAAGGAAAAGAATAATCAGAGCCGATTACACATTCGTGCGTTCAATTCATTCGATATTCAAATATTCTCTCTTAAAAATATCGTCTCTAATCGTCTTGTCCACTTTTTTGTTATCTTCTTTTCGAAGAATCGAACGAACGAACTATCGATTATAAACATTGCTATGATGTTTCTTTTTATGATTCTCCATGCACCATTTGTGAGGGCTTTTATAGGGACAAGCGTCACACGCGAATTTCGGCTTGGCGTTGATGCACTCGAATTTTCGATGTCTCCACAGCGACCTATGAACCGCGTACGCTTTCCCACAGTCGATGCATACGAAACTTCTCTCTCGAATATCCAAATTGCCAGCTTGACGAAGTTGTTGTTGTTGTTGTTGTTGCTGTTGTTGTTGTTGTTGTTGCTGCTGCTGCCAATCATTCCTTCGAGCAACTCGATTCTCCGGCTCGAGGTTGTAGACATTCTTGTAATTCCACAACAACGCTGAAACAACAACACCAGATCGGTTAATACGATCGGATCGACCACGAATCTCGCGAAACGATACGTAACCATTTTTTTTTCTTTTAACACATAAATAATACGATTTGACAAAATTGTATCTTTTTTTTCTGGTCACACTGACATTCGAGAAAATATATATATATTCCTTTTCTCACTGTCATTGGAGAGATGATTCCAGCACGAGCAGAAAACCTGAAAATAATATTCAAATAGAAAAAGAAAATAAAAATGGAAATGCGATATAAAATTTCTATCGTTTTCTTTTCTTCTTTTTTTTTTTTTTGTTTTTTCTTTTGATAAATATTGATACAAGGAAAACGTCCATGCTCCATGATACAAAGAGACCTATGAAATGATTTATTTTTTAGTTACCTCGAGTTACAAACAACCTGAGCATTTGTTGTTTATTTCGATAAATCATGTATACAATATCATCAATCGTGGATGTATATCGAAAATTCGGTTGTCGCAGATATTTTATAATGTTAATACAAATTAATTTACAGTTTAATAGGATTGTAAATTCGAACGATCTATAAATTGCGTGTTATTTCGATCTTCTTTCTCGAATCGGAAAAATTACGCAAAACATTATATGCGCTCTCTAATTATACATACGACGACTACATTATTGTCGGTTTCTAAAAGGAGAATTAAAATTCCATTTACCTTGAGGAGAAAAGCGCTTCGAGTATAATACTGATTTTTTTTTATAAACTCAATTTTAAAAGATACGCGTATGGTTTTTACACAAATTACGTAAGTAATTTTTGTTTAGTAATAATAGTATATTACGCATCATTAATCACCACAATATGAAAATGTATATATCTTTATTACAATTTCATCTTCTGATGAAAGGAGAACATCAGGCTTGATATATCTGTTAAAAATATGATGATCGAAATCACAGATTCGAATTCGAGTATTTCTTGAATTGTTATAATACTTGGCAATCTAATATTTTTTATCGGGTACTTCGTTACTTTAAATAATCTAATCTTCTTTGGTAAATAGCCCAATATCTTTAAATAATTTGTTATTTTCAAACTAGCTTCGACTCGCGTTGAAATCAGACAAATTCAATCGAGATACTATCGTTGCACGTCTTTCTAATCCTCTCACGCCGAATTCACCCGAGTTTGTCCGACGCAACCCGAAGCGTCGAATTACACGAAAACTTCGGGCGAAGTCGGGTAAATTCGGTTCGTGAGAATTAACGAATAGAATCAAGATCGCGAGTCGAATCCGCCCGAATTCGATCAATGCAACCCGAAAACGTTCAATTATAGATAACAGAAAGAATTGGAAGACCATTCGAAGATTGAAATACTGCAAATTTCACTTGAATCTTTGATTATCAGTTCTGATTCTCCTAATGTAACGTAATCTACGAGTGTTACTACTCCCGTCACTTCGTTAAATTCGATGAATAGTGAAAATAATTATTCGCGCACGACTATTGCTTCGTTTCGTTCGGCTCAGCTGTACGGTGAAACGTCTTCATGTGCCTTCTCACGCAGAACGAATAATTGCTACGAAAGTTGCATAGATCGCAGCGAAATTTCAACACGCCTGTATCGTGAACGTTTCGCACGTGTCTCTCCATGTTCGCCTTGTAAGTGCTCTTGTATTGGCAGAAAGAACAGGCGAACTGTGAATTTCTCGGATTCATCTTACAACCGAATTGCACGTGCCTCCTCAACAAGTTCTTCAATGGGAACACCTTCTTGCAGAAACCGCACATATGTCGCTTGTGACAATTCAACATGGATTGCGCAGCTGCTGTTACCTTAAATTTATCGAATTCCGGGGGGAGTTGAAGACCATCGACAGGGCCATAATCAGCAACATAACCTTGTACGTTCCATACTCCTGAAACAGAGCAAAAAGAACATCGATGAAGCAGAGTTCGCGTTGAAAATACATGTCGATAGTAGTTCTCTTCAGACCTAATGTTCGTACGTTCGACGTTCGAATTCGTGAAATAAATTCGTGCTCCGTTTAATCATTCCTTCGATCATTCCCCCTCAACGAAGAATCGTAACGTCGTAATTTCCTCCTCTTTGCATACGATTGCATATGTTTGCGCCGTGAACGGAACCAGGGACGTAAATACAAGTAAGTATTTCAAATTACGTGTACATAAAAAAACGCGACGAACGAAGGAAGAAAAATAAACTCGATATTCTCGAGAGATTTGCAGCGAACATAACGAACATCGCTGCAGATGGACGACGTATAAATGAGTAACGTACATGTTTATTTTAAATAATTTAAAAATAATATATATTATTTATTTAAATAATATTCAAGAGAAGCGGAAGAGGAAGTAAGAGACAAATAGAAAATCTAATCTCCTGTCGATGATTTACCATATTTTCTTTTAAAATCGATCCTCACGATCGAACTTTTCGAACTTTTCGACTTTTCTCAATCTGTTGCCCGTTCTCGCGGATCACACAACAATTTAAGGGGAAAATATGGTGGTCGTCGCGTGGAATTGCTGCGAACCGAGGTGTGCGGAAGCGGGATGGACGTGGCGGGGAAAGTTAATACGCTAAGCGGGTAGCCGCGAGTGCACGTGTCTCATGTGCCTGAAGAGTATGTCCTTTCTGCTCGTTCTGTAGTCGCATAATTTGCAGCAGAACATAGGTGGCAATCCGCAACCGGTGCTCAAGTGTCGTTGAAGGCTCGCCTTCCAAGTGTAACCTTTGCCGCACTTCGGGCAGACAAAGACGGGTTTGCCCCCGGATTGGTCAGGCGTCAGCGAGTCG